GTAGGAATCAACGATGCATTCTAATGCTGACTTGACTTCAGATCTCTAGATTGCGAGGCTTCAACTAGATGATGAGAGACTTCTATCTCATAATCAACCAGAAAGGCTTGCTTTCCAGTGAAAAAAAAAAAAACGTCCACTGGAGTGACCAAAGACCGTCATTCTTTTAGGGACGGACTGACAAGTTTTCCAGCTAAGCAAGTTGCAACTTTAGGTGTCGGAAGTCCAGCTGGCATGCATTCGTGCACTTTCTTGGCTATACTGTATCTCTCCGTCTTGCCCCTGTTTCCCAAGTTGGGAGTTTAGAGTTGAGGCTTGAGAGAGAAGTGAGAAAAAGTTCAAAGCAATGAGCGCTAGCCAAGGGGGAGGGAATGGTGCGTCTTTCATTGATGATGTTTGACAGTGATGGAAGGGTAAAATTGGTATTAAAAGAAATTGATGCATCAACTAACGTTTTTTGTCTGGGTTAGTGATAAAAGGGAGGTTTATGTTAAGTTTCTCAAAAGTTCAGGGGAGAAATTTGTTACAATGAAACTATAGGGGAGGTTTTTATGATTGCCAGAAACTTCAGGTAAAGTTTTTATATTTTACCCTAAAAAATAAGAGTTCAGATCTGCGCCCCACAGCACATCCCCGCCGTGTATTGTATTGGAAACATCTCCCGATGATTGATGATATCATCATCGGGAGATGTTCCCAATACACGACGGGGATGTACTGTGGGACATTTGTGGGGTGCAGATGTGAACTCAAAAAATAAAGGGAGAATTCATTACTTCTCCCATGATAAGACCATTTGGTTTAGACTTTTTGATTGAGAATTATACTTATGCCAGACCCGATTTAGCCCAGTTTCGAAGTTCCCCCATTACCCTGTAATGACAAGCGTCTGGTTTTTACAAGATTTAAGAGAGATTTCAAAAATATGAATAGCGCATATTGAAGGCAAAGAAGGCCATGTATTGATGAAGAAGAAGAGTTTTACGGTTATAGTTGCAACTATTACTCATTGATTTTATAGCATACGAAAAAATTGTAGAAGCCTCTCTTTCTCTCTCCCCCCTCTCTCTTGCTTTTTCTACATTATCGAAAACTTATTGTTTGTTTTTAATTTTATTTTTATTTTCCTCTTGGTCTTCGTCTGTCTTCATTGTTTACAGAAATGTGTTTGTCTCCATAGATCATTCGAATGGAACAAGATACTTTCTCCTTTCTCTGTAGTTCATTCAAAAGAACAAGAGGTTCATTGTTTGGTTTCAAGAATTAATCGAATATTTGATTATCTAATCAAATTCGAATTCAGTTTTTAATTTTGAATATATGACGAATATTGAATCAAATTTGAATCATTAGTTTTGTAATCGAATTTGAATTCGAATATGACATGGTTCAATTCAAATTTGCTTTATTTGCAGGCCTATTTCTAGTGTTAGCTAATTTTCTTTATCAATCATGCAAAGGTTGATAAAAAATGAATAGCCCCAAGTTGGGGTCATTAGAATGCCCACAGAGACATGATCCCAACTTTCTTGAATAGAAAATACAAGGATTTGGGACTGTTCATTTTTTATCATTGTTTGGATGGTTGATAAAGAAAATTGGATGACACTCAAAGGGCATTTGTGTCTTTTTAAATGCCATTTGATGGCTAATTAATAGACTGGTTAATGGCAGGTATTAGATTTACATGTTTCGAAAATTCGGGTACTGAATGGTCTCATTTTAAAATTCAAGGACCAAAATGGCATTAGGCTCAAAATACAAGGTACTAAACGAGAATTTCCCTTCACTTAAACTTTGAGGGCGGTGTATGGCATTGATGCCATTGCTCCAAAAAATGGTGACACATCAACACCACACTAGAAAAATCGGTGCTCTAGAAAATGGTAATATGTTTGGAATTGTTTTTCCATAAAAAATGGTGCTCCAAGCTACGCCTTAGAAATCGAGAATGTGTGATTTGGAGAAACACAAAATTTGACATTTTCTCAATTTGGAACTCATTGCTGCCAATGAGGACATGATGTGGTAGTGACATGGACTTCCTATAATAGGCACTGGTAAATACAAATAAAATTATCTCTAATTCCTATTTATCCTCTTTGCCACCTTTTATCTATATCTATCTAAAGAAAGTTTAAATTAAAATTTTAAAAATTACTAAAATATTTTAACAAATTATATAATAACTTTAAAATATTTATTAAAAACACAAAAATAATTATAATAAATTTAATAATATTCATATTATTAATAGTTTTATATTTCTGCAAAATTCATCACAAAATTGTGTACTAACAATATAAATTATGATTTTCTATATTATTCAAATTAAATGTTATTCAAATAATAGAAATTTAACATTAAAAAATAAAATATATTTCAAAATTTAAATAACTAAATATCATAAATAATAAAATACTAAAAATAGCTAAATAATTACATAGAAAAGTATTTAATTATTTAAATATTTTAATAACTAAATATCTTAAATTCAAATAATGAGTATTTTTAAATATTTAAATATTTTAAATAATTAAACATTTTACATAACTATATTTTAAATAGTTAAGTTAACGAAATTATGCAATAAAATAAAAAAAATCATAACATAATATTCAAATTAATAATAATTTAATATTTTTACAAAATTAATAATGAAATTTTGTAATAATAGTATAAACTTTAAAATAATTATTAAAAACACAAAAAATAATTATAAAAGATTTAATAATATTCATATTATTAATAGTTTTATATTTTTACAACATTCATCACGAAATTATGTACTAACAATATAAATTATGATTTTCCAGATTATTCAAATTAAATTTTATTCAAATAATAGAAATTTAACATTAAAAAATAAAATATTATTTGAATAACTAAATATCTTAAATAATAAAATACTAAAAATAGATAAATAATTACATAGAAAAATATTTAATTATTTAAATATTTCAATAACTAAATATCTAAATTCAAATAATGAGTATTTTTAAATATTTTATAAACTATTTAAATATTTAAATAATTTTCTCCTTTTTTTGAATTCAAATAATGAGTATATATATATATATTTCTTCAAAGTAGAAAAATATTTATAACATAATATTGAAATTAATAATAATTTAATATTTTTACATAATATTGTAAATAACTAATTTCAYTTATATYAAGTAATAATTCGAGAAAATAACTTTCAAAAATAATATTTTATTATAATAATTTTAAACTCTTGATTTGTATTTATTATATAGTTATATATACAAAAATTAATATTTATTATATTTCAGTAATTATTTATTGTTTTTTGTGATAAATGTATTTTTCATGATTATGTATAAATTATTTTGTTTGGTATTTAACAGAAAAAATTTTATAATTATTGGAGATTAAACTACTATTATTGAAAATTTTAAATATAATTTATTATAATTATTGTATTTATTATATTTTTGTTATAACTTTTATTGATTAATTTTTATTAGAGACTAAACTGTTATTTGAGATTATACTATTTATTGACTAAGTTAATATATTTTTAGTACTTATTGTATTTTTGTAATTTTTGTATTTTTTCATTATCAATATATTTTCAATAATTATGTATTTTCACTATAAATTTTTAATAATTATTGGAGATTAAACTATTCTTATTTATCAGAGACGAGACTATTAATTTAGTTGAAATTATGAGTTTTCGTGAGTTGGTTCGGTTCGGTCGTAGTGGCCAACCAAAATGACTTGGTTAGGTTGGGGAGTTGGTCAGCTAAAACCGATTGAGCTTTTGTGAAATCCAACCCACTCAAACTGTATTAGTTTGGGTCAATTTTTTGGTTCTTCAGTCAGTTCAAAAGATTTAAACTTAAAAWTTTAATTTAATTTTAAAAATTATAGTGCAATTACTAAAAAATAAATTTAAAAATTAGATTTATGATATAAAGCATTTTAGACTAAGAAATATGGGAAATTTCCCACTTTTCCATATTAAAAATTATATTTAAAATATAAAATATTAATATATCCATGGTTAGGTCTTTCGATTTTGGTTGATTTGCAAATGGTCAAAGTGAAACTGATCCAAGTTGGTCAAATTGGGAAATTTTTGAACCAAAACTGACCTAAAATACTAGAAAAATGAGCAACTCAAGTCGAGTTGATTGGGTTGGTCGGTTTCATTTGTTTGATGAATAAACCTAACTAAAAAATAATTATTGTTATTTTTGTATTATTTACTAGAACACACCTTTAGGGGTGGCAATTTTCCCCATCCCCGACAAGGACCCGACTTCCTCGACTCGATTGGGCCGGGGATGGGGATTGCTTTAGTGGGGCAGGGACGGGACGAGATATATAGAAATCTCCAAATATATTTTAAAAATTATTTATAATTTATAATTTTTATTTATTTTAAATAAATTTATTTTAAAAAAATACTATTATCTGAAAACATTTTGGGGATTCGAGTCCCCACGGGGAATCCATTCCCGTTAGGGTTCGGGGATGGGGGTTAATTGCAAAATTGGGGTCGGGCGACGGGGCATATGATCCCTGTCCCATTGCCATTCCTACACCTTATAGTTTTACATATTTACTTAAACCTATCTTATAGTTTTTATTTTACTAAAACATCCCATATATTTTACAACTTATTTACTTAATTAGAATATTTATTAAATCCATTACAAATTATAAATGGTATTTTAGTAAAATGCTAAATATAAAATAGATTTTAATAAATCCATAAAACTATAAAAAGTATTTTTGAATAAATGACCATTTCTATTATTTAATTTTCGCTTAATAAATTTGTAGATCGAATATAAGGATCTATACCAAATTACCAAACATATACTAGATCAATTAATTCAAATGTGCTTTACTGACTATTAATATAGAGTCCAGACTCTATATTAAAGTTTCTTTTGGTAATTGACAATATATTAAACTATTAAAGTGGGGTTCATTGAGATCCAACAATTGCCTTTTTGCTCCTTTCGAGGTCCAGAATTTTCACCATCTTTTTACCGCCATTCTTTCTGCTACAATGCTTGCTCATGAGGACCCTCTCGAGTTACAGACCCACTCAACTCTTTTCTCTTTGTCTCTCTCTCTCTCCCTCACACCCACACCCCCCAAAAGCTTCAAATTACCCGATTTTTTAGTCTCTAACCCGCAAAGGAATGGCACAATATATACAAGAACTATTGAGGGCGAGAAAATATCCATTTCTCTGTGCTTTGTTTGTCTTGCTTGTCTGCGTCTGGGTTCTTCTCTACACAAACGATCGATACCCTTCTCTATCTGCTACCAATTTCGAGAATTCTCAAGCAATCTCTTTGTCTCCTACTCATGCATCAGGCTCTCCTCCTCCTCCTCCTCCACCACCACCACCTTCACCTCCACCTCCTCCAATCTCAAAGACTGTCAAGAAAGCTAAACCCAAGCAAGCTGACGTCCCTTCCTTGGATGGGATCTCTAGTGGCAGCAATGGACTGAACTCGATTAGCTGGGAGTCCTGTAAAGTTCCAGTTTCTGTTGATTACATACCGTGCCTTGACAACATGAAAGCCATAAAGGCGTTGAAGTCAAGAAGCCATATGGAACACAGAGAGCGGCATTGCCCCAAACCTAGCTTGCTGTGTTTGGTTCCTCTTCCGCAGGGGTATAAAACCCCGGTCCTGTGGCCTAGGAGCAGGGATATGGTGAGAATAATACTTTGGGAAGAGGAAGGGAGTGTTTCATTTCTATCTGTAATGATTCCTCTCTTCTTCTTGCATGCTGAACTGCATAGCTTCATAATTTGGTTAAATACTCTTTTAAATAATTATTTTTCTGAATTTAATATTTTATTGATCACTCCTATCTCCCAATTTCTTTTCCCCTTCTTGGTTTCTTAATTGGTTTATGACATATAACGGCACGCGTCACAATTCAAGATTACTTTGAATTGGAGGAATCTAAAGTTTTTAGGACTTAGAAGAACTTTACAGTTCATTAGTTAAATGATTTACTGAAATACTTACTACACGCCCCCAGAAAGTACAAACTTCAGACACTAATGCGGTACCCCCAACCTGAAATATATTAGTACACGCCCCCAGAAATATATTAATTCAGAATTCTGAGGTAGAGTGCAGTCTACTTATCCCTTATTCCTTCTTATGCGGCTACGATCATAATCTAGAAACTACGAACCGGCCTTGGTTTGGTCGATAAGTCAGAGAATGATGACTTGATCCTTGAAGAATGCTTAGATGAGGAAATGCCGTAACACTGATTCCTAATAAAAGCAGGGAAAAAGTTATTACTATCTGAAGGAAATGCAGTGTATGGTTGATATTGTTTTGTGATTATTAAACATTTGCACAACACTAAAAAATATACAGATTTAAGCCAATCTATTTCTTATTTTGAGAATATGCTCTTACACAATAATACAATGGTTATTAAGGCAATGGCTATGCATATTGCCAGCTGTAGGTTTCATCTCAGCTATATCTATAGCTATACTCATTGTGCATGATTGTTCATTTACAAGTTGTAGTATTTATGGGTGATATCTCTGGATGGGGGCATTCCTGCTAGTTGGTACTGGTCAGATGATTGTAGTAGTCTAAAAGTTGGTTTTATTTGGTTGTTGACAGTTTAGAACTTATTATTGGTAAAAATTGAACATAGGAACAAACATTTTGATGGTCCAGCACTCTAGATAAAAGCATGCCTTATCATGTGCTTTCCTGTACCAATGCTTAACGGCAAACTTCTCTCTGTGATTGTTAGGTGCAAGATTTATTCTGGTACTGGCCAATCTGAATTGTCCTGGTTTGTTTTTTACATTATTTCACTTTTCAAGCCATATATGTGCTTGTATTGTTTTTTATTTTGTTTGTTTCTCTACTTCTTTCACATGCTGCCACTGCTTTAGCTACACTATATATATTTCTGAAATTGATGAATGTATCATGATAGGTTCTCAGAACAAGCATAAGGAAACATAATTATTTCCATATTCATGGATGCTCTGTTACATGTTTTATGTATTTTCTTAGTTTCTTTTGTCTCTTTCCACTTCTTGACGTGTAACTTGGCAACTTTACATAATCAGTTAACATATTAAGAACTTCTAGTTAGGTCAACTACAGAAAAATTATTGTGCATTTCATTAAAACTAGTTGCTTTCAAGTTCTGAAGCTATCAAGATACATCTAGAAAAGAATTTTAACAGTCATCATTAGCATTTTTTTCTTCTTAGCTTATCTACCAAGAAAATATTGTTGATGTTGTCCAACTTTTTAATTTACAGATTTGGTTTAACAATGTCCCTCATCCTAAACTCGCTGAGTACAAGAAATCCCAAAACTGGGTTCGGGTATCTGGTGATTACTTTGTTTTTCCTGGAGGTGGTACTCAGTTTAGAGGAGGAGTGGCGAGCTATGTCAAGTTTATAGAAAAGGTAGTATATCTGTACTACTGGTTAAAAGTCTGCCACTGTGTATTCGTGTACATAGATGAAACAGTTCATCCAGGACTTATTCTTCGATTGTTATCTTCATTTAGCTTATGCTTGTTGGATTTTCTTATATGTTAACTGAAAGAAGGCAACAAACTCGTATATTCAGAAATGTAACTTTGTTCTGCAAGTTATTTTTCTATTGCTGTGCTCCTATAACTTGTACCCATTCAAATTTTTCTTTCATTTTAAGTTAAAACAGGGGAATGTACTCATCTAATTAAAATCTTAACTCTGTTATCTAAAAACTAGAACACTGTTATTTCTCTCAAAGTAAAAAGTTCATAAGTGATAGAGGGATATGATCACTCTCTTCTTCCTAAGAAGAGTAGGATTTATTGGTGGAAAAAGAAATTGCGATCTTTTTAGCTGGGTTTTTGGCTAAGCAGATAGTGCTGGATAAGAATATTATCCAATACTTAGTTATCCAATTTGGACTACAATTAATTATATATTGAGTGTTGAAGTTTCTTGTTTTATGTTCATTTGATAAATATTTGATCATTGAGTTGGTGTTGATTCAGGCTGATTTAAATCTTCATTGGTTTTCACTAGACTCTACCAGTTATTGGATGGGGGAAGCACACAAGGGTTGTCCTAGATGTTGGCTGTGGTGTGGCTAGCTTTGGTGGCTACTTGCTAGAAAAAAATGCCATTACCATGTCATTTGCCCCAAAGGATGGACATGAAGCTCAGATACAGTTTTCTCTAGAACGGGGAATTCCGGCAATTCTTGCTGTCATTGGGACACAGAGATTGAATTTTCCTGATAATGTATATGATTTGATTCACTGTTCACGATGTAGGGTTCACTGGTATGAAGATGGTATGCCATGTCCTTGATTTACATCATCATCATCATCATCCAAGCCTTATCCCAACTGTATGGGGTCGGCTACATGAATCCTGTTTTTCCACTCTGTTCTAATTAATGCCATGTCCTTGTTTATAGATATGCATATATGCATATCTTGGAAATCCATTATTGATGCTTTATATTATGAAGCTAGTATAAAGCTTTATAGATTTTTTGACTGAAATTATAGGTGGAAAGCCATTATTGGAGCTCAACCGGATTCTTAGGCCAGGAGGGTTTTTTATATGGTCTGCAACACCAGTTTATCGTGATGATGAAAAGCATCGGAATGTTTGGAATGGTTTGTGATCGTACTGTTTTTCTTTCTAGAAGACATGCTATCTCATGCTAGTTACAGTCCTTCACACTTCAGCTTTGTCAATGATGCTGACTGATGCTTTTGAAAGTTGAGAAACATGTTCAGATCTGTTTCTATTACCTTTTCTATCAATGATTTTTCATGTTTAGTAACAACAGTACTATGATATGATCTTGTTAAACTTATTTTCCTTTTATGATGCTTCATGCAGCCATGGTAGCATTGACAGAATCTATCTGCTGGAAGATGGTGGAAAAAGCTGTGGATTCAGCTGGTATTGGGCTTGTAATATATCAGAAACCTGTCTCAAATTCTTGCTATGAAGAACACAAAGAAAGAATCATTCCTTTGTGTCATCAAAAGGATAGAAACAAAATTTCATGGTATTTTTCTTTTCCTGTTCTGAATTATATTTGTTTGTAGGACCAACTAATTTCCATTACTGTTGCTAAGATCTGGTTTCTTGTCTTTGTTGTTGAGGCAGGTATACACCCCTTGACAGTTGTCTTCTCCCACTGTCAGCAGCTGGATCACTCAGTGACCACAACTGGCCCACACACTGGCCTGTAAGGCTCAGCAGTAAACCTCCAAGTCTATCAATGGAACCGAGTGCTGAAAAATTATTCTATGAGGACAGTAAATACTGGTCTGCGCTTGTATCAGATGTTTACTTGAATGGCTTGGGCATTGACTGGTTGAGAATTAGGAATGTGATTGATATGAATGCTGGTTATGGAGGGTAATGTTCATTAGTAACCCCTGTCCTGATGCAATGTGGCATGAATAATTTGATTTTAGTTTTCACTCGCATAAAGGTTTATAATAAATTATATTAAATGGAGTCATTTATGGTTATTAAGAAAATTGAAAAATAATTATGTTTCTCAAAAATCTGAAATGACCTTTTTCTAATGTTTTACTAACAACTAATAGTTGACCTGCTCTACATATAATATTAATTTTGTTGTAATGTTTGCATCCACATTGGATGAATTTGCTGGCAGGTGTCTATTGGATGGATACATTTGTTCCATCTCATTTTGATTCATTTTCAAAATTCTGTTAGTTTAATTGCGTTTTAATCTTTTGTTGTGTGGTTTTTTAGGGTTACATCTGTTAGCACTTAATATATCAGATGTTGATTACAATATCTAAAATCATGCTATAGATTCTTTTTTATATACTGACAGTGTTATATGGATGTACGTGGTAATCAGAATCTGACATGTCTCAGAGTCTGACTTGGCAAGACAAAGAAAGGACTTTTTGGTATCTTTATAGAAAAGTATAGGTTAATAGTCCATATAACTGTTAGCACTTAATATATCAGATGTTGATTACAATATCTAAAATCATGCTATAGATTCTTTTTTATATACTGACAGTGTTATATTGAACTTTAAAATTATAAACCTATAGAAAAAGGTTTAAAAGATTATCTTTATAACTTAATGATATTTTATAGGAACAATGACATTCCTTGTGCACATCATCTGTTCAGTTTTGTTGAATAAGCAAGGAGAAAAAGAAAAGTGTCGCGTAGAAGTGTTCTTCAAGAACCCATGGAGTGTCAAAATCCAATATGTGTCCTACACAGACACTTCATCCATTGAGGAGTCCATGCAACACTGCATGACAACTTATTTTGTATTTACATGTAAAATTGAGTGCTTGTTTTCCTTTCCTTTTAGTCCTTTTCTTTGGTAGTAATTTTGTTTGGGTAAATATTCTTTGGTAGTAAAATTGAGTGCTTATTTTTTATCACTATTCCTGGACTTATGGTTCCTTGTTTTACTTTAATCAGGCTATTTGTAAGCCCGGATATGTTGAATGGCTTCTGTTGGTTCTTTCACTAATTCCACAAGTTACTTGTTATCTATCATGTCCCATGCTAATTTATACTTTTTCATGGAAATATTTGTAGCCAAAAGTAGGAAATTATGCACTTGGTGATTTTGAGTGATTTGGTGGGTCTTTAAAATCTCCTTTCTAAGGTACATTTTGAAGGAGTTCATGATAGTTACAATGTGGCATTTTGTTATAGGGGAAAATTTGGTTCAATTTTAAGGATGCAGTAAATGAAACTGTTTTCTTATAACTTTGGTTGAACTTGCCTTTGCATTTCAGTTCATATGATCTGTTAGGAAATTTATTTAATGCTTTACTTAACATGTCTTATCATGTTTACCAATAAAAAATGTCTTGTCATGTTTTAGTCTCCTTTAACATGTCTAGTTTATATTTGTTGTGCTTATTTAAGATTAGTATATCTTGTAATTGATTTTTCTGCCCCTTACCAGATTTGCTGCAGCACTTATTGGTCAACCCCTTTGGGTAATGAATGTTGTCCCTGTTGATGGACCAGATACTCTACCTGTAATTTTTGACAGAGGGTTGATTGGAGTTTATCATGATTGGTGTGAGGCTTTCAGCACGTACCCTCGGACTTATGATATTCTACACTCAAGTAACCTATTTGGAAATCTTACACAAAGGTATAACAATGGTCCTTTTTGTTTATACTTGCAACTTTGACAACTCAGCATGAGAAGAGTCAGTTGATTCCATTTCTTTTTTATTTCCTGGTTTTACCAAGTCCAGAAGACTTCATAAAAGGGTAAGTGACAGCACTTCATATGGCAATAGGGGTTTGAACCGGTGAAGTCCTAGAAGTCTCAGCCTGAAAGAGAGAGTAGAGAGAGATATGAGAAGAACTAGGGATGAAAGCAATAGAGTTTGAGAGTCAGTTTGTCTCTCTAACTGCCACCCACTTTTATTGATTTACTAATAAGTAGCAAATGACAACTTTACCCCTAAGTAAGAAAGAAAAGAAAAATAACATAACATAATATGAAATTCCAACTATGCCCCTCCCAACCATAAATGGAAAATAAGATAAATGAAGACACTTCAAGACTCCCCCTCAAGTTGGAGCATAAATATCACAAAGCTCCAACTTGTTACAAATAGAATTCGTTCTTGCTTGATTTACACCTTTGTTGAAGAGGTTGGCTAACTGATCTTCTGACTTCACATAGGGTGTAACAACTTCTCCACTTGCTACCTTTTCTCTCACAAAATTGCAACCCACTTCCATGTGTTTGGCCCTCTCATGGAATACTGGGTTAGTGGATATGTGGATTGCAGCTTGATGATCACAAAGCAACTCCATAGGAGAGGGTACATCTATCCAAATTTCCTGTAATAAGTGCTTCAATCACACTAACTCACAAGTATGAGCCATAACTCTATACTCTGCTTCTACACTACTTCTAGCAACTCCATTTTACTTATGCTTTTCCAAGAAATTAAATTATCCCCAAGGTGCAGTAACTTCTGGTGGACCTCTTGTTTGTGTTGGACCCTACCTAGTAGTTTACATCTGAATACCCTTCTAGGGATAACTCACCTCCCTTTATATAACGACCTTTGGCAAGGAGCACCTTTTACATACCTCAATACCCTTATAATTGCTTCCCAGTGGTTGGTTCTGGGATTTTGCATGAACTGGCTAAGCATACCCACACTGAATGAAATGTTTGTTCTTGTAATGGTGAGATAAATGAGCTTTCCAACTAGTCTCTTGTATCTCCCTGGATCATCCAAGGGCTCCTCACCAATAAAATCTTCATATTTGGATCAATAAGAGTGCCAACTGGTTTAGCTCTTAGTAGTCCAGTTTCTCTGGTAAGTCTAGAGCATACTTACATTGGGAAAAGGGATACCAAATTTGGATCTAGCAACTTCAATACCCAAGAAATATTTCAAGTGTCCCAAATCCTTAGTCTGATGTTGTTGCAGAAACTGCTTCAATTCCTTAATTCCCTCACCATCACTGCCTGTAATGATTGTATCATCAACATAAACAACCAAGATAATTTTCTCAGTTGGTGTATCCTTTCTAAAGAATAAATGGCCCACACTACACTGCTTTAAACCGAATTATTTTACCACATTGCTAAATCTGCCGAACCAAGTTCGTGGCGACCGTTTTAACTCATAAATAGCTTTCTTGAACTGGCACACTTTACCTTAATAAAAGTAGAATAAAATAAGAGGGAAACCAGTAGAAATCTTCCCTAGAAGTCTCAGCCTGAAAGAGAAAGAGTAGAGAGAGATATGAGAAGAATTAGGGCTGAAAGCATTAGAGATCGAGAGTCAGTTGGTCTCTCTAACTGCCGCCCACTTTTATTGATTTACTATAAATAACAAATGACAACTTTGCTCCCTATCTAAGAAAAGAAAAATAACATAACATAATATGAAATCCTAACTATGCCCCTGTGACCATAAATAGGAAATAAGATAAAAAGACACTTCAACAGTTCTCACTAAGACTTGGGTTATTTTACCTCCAACCAGAAAATAAAAGAGAACCATGGCATCCTAATTTCTTAATATTAATGCCCTCTTTCAGGTGTGACATTGTATATGTAGTTGTAGAGATGGACCGGATATTAAGGCCAGGTGGATGGATTTTGGTGCAAGACAACATGGAAATTATTAATAAGATAAACCCATTGTTGCAGTCACTGCATTGGGAGACCAGTCTACACGAAGGGCTGCTTCTTGTTGGTAGAAAGGGTTTCTGGCGTCCCACTGATGCAGGATCCAGTAGATGACCAGAGGTGCCAGTCTTTCCCTCCATATAATTTTTCTAGTTGCTTTAGTAGTTTCCATAGTGTGGCTGAGGCATTTAGCGCAACTTGTCTGTGTGGATATGGGGCTACAGGATCTGTACTACACTTACATGTTTCATTTCTGTAGGATCATAATTATGAAAACTATGTGCTTTTAGTTTATTCATAAGCACTTATAATTTAACAATGGAATCCCATATAGTTGGGATACTTGGATGATGATAATAATGTAGTTTTAGCGTATTCATTGGAAAGTAAGAAATATCTATAGAAGCTGACTGAGATATGATGCTGACTTTTTCCATCCCTTCTGCACAAGGGATCCTTGCCCTGGGGCACTACATGGTTGTCCATTCTGAATTGTTCACCCTTATCTTAAATGATTCATGGTTGTACGCAACTAAGGGGGTGATACGGGCATGGAAACAAGGAAAGTACCCATTGAGAGAAAATAAAGTTTTCATCGGATCACTCATCCAATGGCATTTGTAATTTATTAGTATACATTTTAGTATTTTTGAGTTATTTATTTATTTTTTCTAGTTAGTGTCTTAGGAATAGAGTTAGTAATTTGAAAGGATTGGTTTAGGCCCTGTTTGGTTTGCATGAATAGGGATCTGGAATTGGAAAGGGCTATTCCGATTCCAACTCTTTGGTTGGGTGGAATCGGAATTCCATTCCCATTTCTGCTGGAATGTCATTCCTCCATTTGAGGGAATGATTATTCCCTACCTCTCCTTTAGGAATGAAATCTCATTCCTGCTGATTCTGTGTTAACCAAACAGATTATGGGAATAGACCATTTCGATTCTCATTTCAAAGGATTTCTTAGTTTATATAGTCTTGTAGAGTTTTTGGAATTTTGAAAAAGTTGAAGATGCAATCACACTATTTCTTTGAGTCTATTTTTCTGGGGTCAAAACTTGTCAGTTTTTTATGATTAGGGTGTCACTAAATAGGTAATTCTTCACAAAAAAGGACTAAATAGGTAATTAAAAGTGCGCTATTTCTTTTCTCTCTTCTTTTATTGACACATTAATGATGAATCTCATCCTCTTCACGGCTCATATTCTTAATTCTCCTTACCATCACGTTCATCCCTAGGACTTTCTCCTTGTCTTACATCAGGGGGTGTTCTTCAGCATGGATTATTTACTTGTGAGTTCGATAAAACTAGGGCTTACAAATGGTTTAAACAAAACATGTTTTTCTTCAAATAAAAAACACACGTCATGTTCTTGGTTGCATTTTTTTTTTTTTTGTCTTTTTAACGCAAGTGAAGCCAGATATGCATTCTTGGATTTCTGGTTCTAAAAAAGATGGCAATGATGAGACATGGCCATGAGCTATGTTGTGTTGGGACTTGGGGGACATGAGATGGTTCCAACTTCCGATTTTGAAACATCTAGGTATTACAGGTTGACAGTTGACACATGCCAGATGTAGTAGGAACTAAATCTGCTGTGACCATAATTGCAGCATTTTCTTGCAACCCTAATAAAACATGGATGCTATCCCAATTTGTTTTAAATTTAAAACATTGCTTTTTGGTTGTATACTTGTGTTGCAAGAAAATAAAGTAACCATGGTTGCAACAAATGCGATAACTCATCTAATGGTGGGTTTCATGGCAGATGGAGAGACTTATGGGACATACACGTCTTAATGTGGATATGATGGCAGAGGAACTAAGAGTTAATGTCTTGAATTACATCAATTATCTAAAAGAAACACATTTAATAAGGGTATAGGCGCCATTATGTCACGGGGTTAATCGACGAGGCCTCGTGCGGCGCTCGATGGGGTCGAGAAAGCCTACGAATGCAAGTAACAACACACAAAAGGCAACAAGAACACACATAGATTAGACAAAAGGTAACTTGTATTGCATTAATAAGTGGTAAGCACAAGCACACAGTACAGTGTCGAGGGGATCTCATGCTTAACCTTTTCACGCTTATAAACTCATTTGACTACCTACTTCCCCTCAAAGAGTATGTTAAGCTTTTGGGGGAGTGACAACAGGAAACATAAAAATGATGAAAAATCATACTATATATTTACAATAACACCCTTGACAGTCCCCCCTTACAAAATACATGAGTAGTCCACCCTAGACACACATGCTGACACCTTGAAGGCACGTGGTTGGCACTCTGATGGCTCATGGTAGGTGCTTGATGGCACAGCGAAGGAGTCACTCGTGACATTCTCCCTCACTCAATTCGATCTACGTCCTCAGAGATCGGTTTCGGTTGGTCCCTTAGAGTCACTATTGCGGAAGGAAGGTTCTTCTGCTGCTCCCGAACCGGCTGTCGTCCAAGGCCGAGGTGTATAGTTTGGTAGCATGGTTGGGTTGGCCTATTCTGTTGGGGTTTCCTATGGCTAAGTCATTTCCTGGCAGCCTCAAAGTATGTTAATGGCTGATTCAGCTTGGTTATAGGGTAGGTTTGGGCCAGGTAAGGGTCAAAATGATGTTTTGGATTGTTGGGGTGTTGGTTCCCATGAATT